AAACATTTTATTCTTAGCATATATTTTGGGAAGAGCAGAATAGTTATAAATGCTATAACTTGATGACTTACTTTGTTGCGTACGGGAAACCGAAAGTGTTGTTGTTGACGGGGTTTAAGGACTCCATCCTCCACCAACCCCAGACTTGTAGTAAAAAAGCGCACCCATAAAATGTACATTTTTCCTTGACTGCGTTTTTGCACAAGGAACTGTATAGGTGGGCTAAAACTGCAGAACCCCAACTATATTTTCTTGTTTTTTCAAAATTTGTTAGTAAATGTAAGTACATAAAATTTACACTATTTCCCGTACTTTCGGGAAATAAAAATGTACCAAAAAGTATCATAAGATAAGTTCTGGCTTTTACTACCCTGTCATTCTCTGAGGAATTTTCATTTAATTCTAAACTTGCATAATGACGTTTCAGCTCAGTGAGTAGTATTCCCTGCCCTCTTGCACCACCAACTTCTACCATATCTCTGCCCAACAGTTCTTCACACTGAGAGTTGGGTTATTGAACCGACCCGTTCACGGCCTTACCGTTGATAGAGAGACCTAGTAGCATGTACACATCCTCTAGCGTGATGGTACATTCACCTATTGGTAGGTGAAATGTATGGGTCTCCGGTCTCCACCTTTCCAACATTGCAAGAATGAACTTCGAGTCAATGGTGCAGTTGGAGATCTTTATGACATGTCCAAAACCTGCGTATTCCAGATATGGGACGATAATGGGTCGGGAGCCAGGTAGTTGTGCAAACGGATTCTGAATCTTTTTGTGTCCTGAGTTCATAATGTAACAGGTGTAAGATTAATTAAGATGAACAACGCGTTATTTGAAGTATGAAAAATGTATAACCAAAAAAGAAACTTACAAATCCAGCAATGTTTTCCCTTGTGCCTCTGTGAGTATCGCCCATTGTTAGAAGAGCCATTGTTTAAAATGCTTGAGAGTATGAAAGACTTAGGAAGAGATAGAGAGTATGATAGACTTATGAAATATTTCGTAGCAGAGAGTGAGACTTGTGTGGGTGTGAGAGATGTATGATATGGTATGTATTTATAGGCAAATAAGTTTGATATAGTGGTTGCTTGTGCTTGCATGTCTGCGAAGTGTCACATTTGCCTGCTTAGGGGGTTACACATATGCATGCATGCATGTACAAAAAATGAAAGGTGTCACTCTTGTAGGCTAGGTGGCAGCCCATGCATGTATCACGATTGGACAGTAAGGGAGGCGCCATTGGACTTGGCGAAAGAGTACAAAAATGAATGGTGTCGTCACCCCAATTGGAGAATAAGAGGTGTCCTTTGTTACAACCTAGGCTCAGGCTACGCGACAGCCTTTGGGATTCCTTTCATTATTGCATGTAAGCCCGTTGGAGTTGATGGGAGGAGTCTTACAAAATAAATGTATATGTGCAGGATAGGGCCAGGCTAGGTGGCAGCCTAGGGGGTTACATAAGCCCATGCATGTATCACGATTGGACAGTAAGGGAGGCGCCATTGGACTTGGCGAAAGAGTACAAAAATGAATGGTGTCGCCACCCCAATTGGCGAATAAGAGGTGTCCTTTGTTACAGCCTAGGCTCAGGCTACGTGACAGCCTTTGGGATTCCTTTCATTATTGCATGTAAGCCCATTGGAGTTGATGGGAGGAGTCTTACAAAATAAATGTATATGTGCAGAATAGGGCCAGGCTAGGTGGCAGCCTAGGGGGTTACATAAGCCCATGCATGTATCACGATTGGACAGTAAGGGAGGCGCCATTGGACTTGGCGAAAGAGTACAAAAATGAATGGTGTCGCCATCCTAATTGGCGAATAAGAGGTGTCCTTTGTTACAGCCTAGGCTCAGGCTACGTGACAGCCTTTGGGATTCCTTTCATTATTGCATGTAAGCCCATTGGAGTTGATGGGAGGAGTCTTACAAAATAAATGTATATGTGCAGAATAGGGCCAGGCTAAGTGGCAGCCTATGGGGTTTCATTATTGCATGTAATATTATTGGCAGCCTTGGGGGGTTGCATCCTTACTTAATTGAAATTTTTAGCCTTACGTTTATCATAACATTGATTCACATAATCTGTCAAATCTTCCAACCTTCAAACGTTCTTACAACCAAACCTTCAAACCTGCAAACAATCAAACATTCCAACCTTTGAATCACTCATCAAATTCAAACATTCCAACCTTCAAACATTACAGCATTCATACCTTCATACAATCAATAAACCTCAAACATTCCAACCTTCAAACCTTAAAACAATTCTACGCAATGGCCTTTTCACCACAATTTGTCGTCAAAGCACATTTCAACGGTGAGACATACATTTGTCCCACAGCTGGGTTTTTGTTTAGAGACACAGACAACATTCGATTTCTCTTAAACGGGAAAGCCAATTTCTCGTACTTCAAAAAAAGATTGGAGGCCAAACTTGAACGAGGCCCGGTGTCCCAGATATTTTATCAGAATCCAGTTTTCTTTGGAAACAACCAAGTAATTTTTTATAAGGTTGAAGTTCAAGATGACGAGGATCTCCAGAATATGATTTCCAACCATATCTATTCTGGATACGACTCTATTGAGTTGTACGTTTTGCTTCAAGAGCCTCAGGTGACACAGGAGGTTGATCCTTTGGAGAATGAACAAGATGAGGTAGATGCAGTTGATGATGAAGAAGAAGATAACGAGTTAGAGTTTGATGAAATGGTGAACGATGATTCTGACGATGATGGCATCCCTAGTATTCCTACAGACAAAATCTACACACCACCTCCGCACATGACAAACTTCAACATGGGCGGAGATGAACCTTCTACTGACTTATTTTTCAATCCGTATATGAAGTCGGATGAAAATTTAAAAGAGAAGGACAAGTTTCGTAATAGAGAGGAATGCATCAGGGCCATTAAAAAATTTCACATGCTCAACTTGGTTGATTTTAAGGTGGATCGTGTCAACCCGGAAAGGTACAAGATCAAGTGTGTCCACCCTGACTGTATGTTCAAGCTGACCGCATCATACAGATTAAGGGGTGACTGTTGGGTCATAGGTTCCATGACTACCCACACTTGTGTAAGTTCCACTCAATCACAGGACCACCGAAAACTCAACTATGATCTAATTTGTCAAGAAATCCTTCCCCTGGTCAGCAACGACCCATCTTTGAAGGTGAAAACAATCATCTCCCACATCACCACGGTTTTTAACTACACCCCGTCTTACCGTAAGGCGTGGTTAGCAAAGACTAAGGCGATTGAAAGGGTGTACGAAAACTAGGAGGAGTCATACCGAGAACTTCCCCGCTACCTGAATGCACTCAAGACGTATTCTCCAGGTAGTGTTTACGTTCTGGAAACATTGCCAGCGTACGCCCAAGATGGTAGTCTACTGCATGGCAACGGAATATTCAGTCGCGTGTTTTGGGCATTTCAACCATGCATCACAGGGTTTGCATCATGCAAACCAATTTTACAAATTGATGGGACTTGGTTGTATGGGAAGTACAAAGGCACGCTATTGATGGCAGTTGCACAAGATGGCAACAACAACATTTTCCCCGTTGCGTTTTCCCTTGTCGAGAGGGAGACCGGTGGTGCTTAGAGCTTTTTCCTGAAAAATCTTCGGACACATGTGGCTCTTCAACCAGATCTCTGTTTGATCTCGGACAGACATGCCTCCATTGAAAGTTCCTATAATAATCCAGCAAATGGTTGGCATGACCCTCCTTCTACGCATGTCTATTGCGTTAGGCATATCGTCCAGAATTTCTCAAGGAAGGTCAAGGACAAAACATTGAGGAAAGCGGTTATGAATGCGGGATATGCATTGACACAACCCACATTCAAATATTACCGCAACGAGATCCGTTTGTCTAATCCGGAAGCCGGTAGGTGGATCGACAATATTCCGGTGGAAAAATGGACTAGGTCATACGACAATGGCCAAAGATGGGGGCATATGACAACGAATCTTATTGAATCAATGAATGGGGTATTCAAGGGCATATGAAACCTCTCAATCACTGCCTTGGTAAAATCTACGTATTTTAGGATGGCTGCGTTATTTGCAAAAAGAGGTGAAATGTGGAATGCGGTGTTGCAATCTGGACAACTATGGAGTGAAAGTTGCATGAAATACATTAAGGCTGAAAGTGCTAAAGCCAACACTCACATGGTTATACGGTTTGACCGACACAGCCACAACTTCATTGTGAAAGAGACAATCGACCACAATGAAGGCCTGCCAAGACAAGAATACAGGGTCATTTTACCTTCTCAATGGTGCGATTGTGACAGGTTTCAAGCATTTCGTATGCCTTGCTCTCATGTCATTTCCGCTTGTGCTCATACCCATCAAGACGCGCTTCAACTGCTGTCAAACGTTTACAAATCTGAAACGTTGCTCACTGTTTACAACAACAACTTTCCTTTGGTGACAAAACCAGATTATTGGCCTAAATACGACGGCGATATAGTTTGGCACAATGACCAAATGCGAAGGAACAAGAAGGGTCGTCCCAAAAGTAGGCGCATCACAACAGAAATGGACGATCTTGATAGGTTGGAAAGAAAGTGTGGTTTATGCCGTCAGGTCGGACACAATCGCAAAAACCGTCCGAATCGGGCGTCTGGCTCGACCACATAAATATTGTAATACATAAAATCTTTTCATAATTGTGTTGTAAACATTTGGGTTTTCCGTTAACAGATTTTGCTACAATTAATAAAACGCGTACAACAATAATTAACGATATTCAATCTAGGAAATTACAACTGTTAACACAATTTCATCTGACCCATGCATCATCAACATTACATCACTGTCTGTTTTGACTTCCTCCAACCACACATTAGGTCTTCCTGTCGCATGTGAGGTTGTTGTTCGTTTTCGCTGGATCCTTCGAATTTTTTCCCCCTCCGCAATGTCTCCATCTAGCCACCGCATCAACTCCCGCTTCAGACGCTCCATGGAGTGAATGTGCTAGAATTTCATTTTCATCGCAGGTTTCGTGGCAGAGAAGATAACGTAACCATCTCTGCTAAAAATCATAGGCGACGTCATGACGCAAATAACGGAGTACAAAATAAAAATACAGTGCGAGAAAGTGTGAGAAATTTCGGAGAAACGGACGAATTATTTATAAAACAGCATTTTGCCCTAGTCTTGCCCTAGGAGCCAAGTGAGATGGCGCCTCCTCTCACTTTTAAGGAGCATGCACCATCTCACTTGGCTAAAAGCCAAGGGAGGCGCCAAGTGAGATGGCGCCTAGGGAAAAACCCTAGGTGGAGGCGCCAAGTGAGATGGCTCCTCCTTTGGGGAGTCATCTGAAACATGGTTATTTGCGTAATTTTTTCCGAAACCCAGTTATTTGCGAAATATTATTTTAATACATGGTTATTAATAAAAAAAATTCAATAATATCACTAAATTGTAAAAAATTATTGCTAATTACATAAGAAATCGAAAGTGTTAATGGAAAATTTTAAAATAATTATTTTTTGAAAAAAAAAGTTTAATGATTAAAAATAAAATATAAGATATTTAAAAGTATCATAAAAATATCTAACTCTAAATAATATATTTATTGCTTGCGCCAATTGGAGCCAGCCCTTGCTTCACTCCTATTATTATTGACTTTTTGTTATAAATAAATAAATGATTAAAATTGTAGATTTTAAAATAGAGATGAAAATGTGAAGAAAAGAAACAAACTTATTCTTCTTTTATGATGCAGTCTTTTTATGATTTTCAAGTGTTATGTTAAACTAAATAATTTGAGCTGTCTCTTCCATCTCAAAAACACTTAGAAATCGTTGATAACAGGAAGTACTGAAATTGAAATAAGTGTTCAACAATTGAGAAAACACATAGATTATTGAAGTATTTTACACTAAGATATAGTAATCTAAAACTAGAGTATGATTGGAAACATATGTTAAATAAATGTAACCATAACCAAACACACAATATAAACTATAAAGCTTGGATTTTCTATTTATTTATCTATTATACATATTATATACATGTAATTAATCACCAAAGAACTTCACCAAGCAAAAGTATCAACATCAATTCTTAAATCTAACTAGAGTGATCCTTTCAAATCTGATCAATTAATTATGTAGAGGGTTTGGTCCAGTAGGAACTACATGATGAGAAACTGCATGAATTTGATTGAACTTACCTTTTCTAGAATTCAAAGAAGAGAGAATAGCAGAATAACTCTGTGTATACATGGAAGAAAGCTTTCTTTCTGATCTCTTTTCCAAATTATGAGACATGGAACCTTGCATTACAGACAGGAAAATCATGAGAAGCAGGAATATGGTTGAAGATTTAGGAAGAACCATGTTTGTGATTATTTGTAAGAGCAAGAAAATTTGGAAGAAGAAAAAAGTTGTTGTAGAATTAATATAGTGATATATATTAGCCTATATAAGTCTAAAGGAATGGTTCATGTGTCTACACTAGAAACTAAAATAATGGAAAATAAGCAAATTTGAAATATAAATAGAACTTAGTGACGATTGCCACATTCTGTGATTCATATAGTATGCCAGATGTCAATAGCTGACTTTTCTGAAAGTGATCCATACGTTAATGTTGTACCATTGCACTGTTGTAGAGGATTCTAAGCTGTTAATTCTCCTAAAGAAATATTTGAAATATTATTGTATCATGTTAAATTTGTAGTTGTGTTATGTAAACACAAAATAGGACATGGTACTCTTCACTCACAGTATAGATACTGTGAATTTTTTTTTTTTACTTTTTATTTGATTTTTTTAACAAATTTATGTATTTTTATTATTTTATAATTATGTAAAATAAATAATCAATTTCTTATATTTTATTTGTTTTTTTAATAAAAAATTAAATCAATACAGAAATAGATGATAAGCGGACAACAAACTCGCCGCTACTCCTTTTTAGATTGCAAAATCAATCCTCTTAAAAACGACATCTATAGACCTAAGAGATATAACATTGTTATTCATAGCCTTTGAATTCTCTGTAAAAGATCAACTGCGTCTGGTATTAGAAAACTAAAAGTATCAAAGACAAATAGTATAAAAATATGTTGATTTTTAGAATACACTTTCTCATGTTTGACCACTTTACTGGAAACAGCTTTAAGAGGTGGATAATCTATCATACCTTCCATTACAATCTACTTTCTTTTCTTCAAGAGTCCCCAGGTATCATATTTTATTTTGAATTTATTTTTAATGTTTTTTTTTATTTCGGTGGGGTGGGAGGGGGCGTCAAGGAGTCAGAAAAAATTCGTAGATCAATTGAGATTTTATTTGTTTGAAAAAAGAAAATGGAGGTATGGGAGTTAGAAGGTTGATAAAATTTAACTTAGTCCTACTTGGTAAATAGTGTTGGATGATTTTAAATGAGACGGAAAGTATGTGGTATATGGTTCTGAGTACTCGGTATGGAGAGGAATGGGGTGATTATGTTTGGGTAGTAGTGGCTGATCTGTTTGGTGGAGAAATTTAAAAAACATAAGGAAAGGTGTCCATTTAGTTGATGGAAGGTGGTTGATTGATGAAATTGATTAGAGAATAGGAGACGAGTATTCTACTCTGTTTTGGCTAGATCCTTGGTTGGGTGGTATGTCTTTGAAGAAGAGATTTAGTAGGTTGTTTGAATTAGCAGAGAATAAAAGGGAGACAGTAGTAGAAATGAATGAATTGGGGTTGGGGAGAATGGAGAGGCGTGGAAGTGGTGTAGGAGGTTATTTGCTTGGGAGGAGAAGTTAGTGGGAGAATGTAGTGAGTGGTTAACCTCAGTTGTGGTGGAAGTGGAAGATCATTGGGTGTGGAGTTTACATCCTTGTTTTTGCTACACGGTTAGCAGTGCTTATAAATATTTGTCTGAAGTTCACGTCATCAACAATCAGGTTTTCAATTTTTATGTTTGAAGATTGTGTCGCTTAAGGTATCTATTTTTGTCTAGTGGTTGTTACAAAATCGTATTTCGACGAAGAACAATTTGGTTAGGTGGCAGATTCTTGTTACAGATGATCATAGATGTGCGCTAAATTATGATGTAGCTGAAGACAAAGATTATTTATTTGTAATATGTGATTTTTTGGTGGGATGTGGACTATTATTTTTAATTAGTTAGGGTTCTCAATGACATCTCAAGGAAAGGTTTTAGTCCGTTATTTGCAATTTGATGGTCTTGGTGGGTTCTAAAAAAATAGTTGGTTGGCTTTCAACATTATTTGATTCGTTGTGGTTTGAAAGAGTAAAATAGGCGTATTTTCCATAATAAAATCGAGTAGTTGCAAGCGCTATCTGAAAGGATAAAACTTCATTTATTTTGGTGCTTAAAGTCCAAATATGTTACTTTTGATTATGACTATCAGTTATGGAGGTTAAATCTTTATCATGTTTGTCAACTGTTATGTAGTTCGCTATTTGCTATTTTTTTCAGATATTGAATTGTAATCTTGAACTTCTTCTTGTCTTTATCTATATATCTCGTATTGGAGTGATTCATTTTAGTTATTAATATATATTTTATTTTGGTTTTTTCAAAAAATATATTTTTTAAAATAATAAAATAAAATAAAGGTAAAAAAAATTATATAAAAAAGTTGACAAGAAAAAATAAGTATTGTTCACCATATTTATTTATAAAATCAACAATACTAAATATATGTATATGTATTTATCAATCGGTATATGTTAGTTAAATTAAATAAATGTTAGTTTAGAATTTAATCTTTGAAAATATTTTTTATATATTTTATATTAACATAAATAAAATTTTAATATTTATAAATTAACATGTTTAAATATATATATTAGATTAATTTCGTGAATAAAATAAAATTAATAATTAATAATTAAATCAAATAATTATCACTTAAAAATATCGATAAAACATTTCAAAAATAATAATAATTTATATATTAAAATTTTCTCCACTTAACAAATCTACTAACTACTAATAATAAAAATGCTTGTAATAAAAAAATTTACTATTAAAATTAATTAAATGGTTGATTTTTTAGTCTCATTAAACGAACTCTTAGTACAACTCAAGTATAACATCTTATATGAGACGGCAGATACGTTTCAAATCAATAATATTTTCTGTCTTAATAATCATAGTCTAATTGTATGAGTAAGAGAAACCAGCTGGTATGCAGGCTGCTTTGTGAAACAAATAGGAAATTGACATTAATATTATTTTAAGGGAAAAAAACATCCAAAATTATGTCAATTCTTGACAGTTTTCTATGTGTTTCATATTTTATATCTCTGTCATTGACCGAAGATAATAATATATACGCACAAAATACTTGACCCAATCAAAGAATACAGAAAAATAATAAAGTTCAATTTAGAAATTTACAGTCTCATGAATATGAACACAAACTAGGTTATTCGCTAACATCCAATCATATAACAACAACCAAGCAAGCAACCAATTTTAATATGGCACTCAAACATAATTTTTCCAACTTTTGTAGGGAACTAATAATTCCTTGATAAGAACTTTAGTTAGACTATTAATTAGTCATTTCATCCCACGTTGTTTTATTAGTTGAAATTTAAATATTTATAAAAACTTCATTATATAAATTTACGTAAATTTAGTGAAATTCATATAAATCACAATCAATCAAGAGGAGTGTGTTAGTATTGATTTGTTAAGTGAGAATTAAAAAATTCTGTTATAAATCATATAATATAAAATCTGATAAATATGTTGTAAAATTGAAGAGCTTGTGGGCATCTGCTCTGCACATGATGCACCTGTTTTCATGTTCACATACCTCACACAACAGTGTCCATTAACAATACTCCTTAAAAAAAAAATGAAAAAAACATCTTTCTTTCACATCAAATCTCTTTTTTTTTTTTTTGTTTGAAACAAACATTCCATTGACTTTTAAGAACAACATGGTATATGTTGTATTTCATTATTCAATTATGCAGAGCAAGACAACAATATACAATCACAGTGAAATGCTCTTTCGATGCTATCCATCAAGTATTTGTTAAATTTATTCAACTAGACATCTTTTGTATTGAGTGGGGGAGGAACATAATTTTTCATTGTCCAATAGTTTCTACTCAAATAAGAGGTTTACATTGTCCATTTCGAGGGTTTCGTTGTTGTTCTAACGATAAGGATGGGAGTAAGGGTATTTCTTACATGGTGTCTCATCTTAAGATGTTACGTATATGTAGTGACAAATGAAAAGTGTCATACAAAATGCCACTAAGAATGATTGGGATTTATTTACGGTATTGGAGGACTCTTTAAGGATGGTTGAGCAATGGTTATATGGAACGTGTATGAGCATTCATGCCATGAGTCGGGCATGTCATCATCTTGATGGTCTAGTTCGTGTCACTCATGGGACAGGGAAGGTCGGGAGTCACTTTGTGGGTATTGTTAAACCATCCACAACAAACTCAGATAACTTTGAAATAAGTGATGAGCTTGTTTTAGATGCAAGGTTTGTTAGAGAGAATCCTTGCAGCACCTACCTTCACTGTGGAGAGTATACCTCTTAGTTGTCGTCTTGCTTTCTCTCAGACATTGAAAGATGCTCTTTATAAGGTGGTTGCAGATTTGGAATCAGTAAGTGTATGGGCATGGTTGTTACTTCTTCTTTGTTGTACTTTACAGGTTGTTAAGCCTCAAAATGGACGGGATCGTAGGTCGGGAAATTAGAAGTCCTCGCAACAACACCATATTTGAGAATGTTTGGCTATTTGAAGAGATGCAGATGGTCTTGTCAAGTTATTTGATAAGGTGTTAGGCAACTCTGAGCAAGATAACTTGGGTCATGGGGGATTTCATGTTGAAAAGAAAGATAAAAAGATGGGTTCTAATGTCAGGCAATTCCTCTGCAAGGTTGCTGATGGTCATTTCACAGTGGAAGTAAAAGTGTTGGGACTTGGGATCATCTGGAGTAGCCTCGTATAATGGACATACAACAAAGACTTTGGAGTCTAAACACCCGTACAAACCACCTCCCTCAACGTCAGCCACCTGGTTCTTCAAATCTCCCCTAGTGGTTAATGCTAATATTATCTTCAAGTGCATTAAAATATTTCCCAAAGGAATGTCATATGGTAGAGTTGGTTTATGTGCTCAGCATTTATTAGACGCACTGTGTGGAAAAGGTTTTGTTGTGGCACGATATATTTTATATGCAGTCGCTCTAGTTGTTAACTTATGGCTAGGAGTAACATGTCACGTGAGTTTGACAGAGTTTGTTACCGTTATTAAAGCCTGGTGGTGGGATACGACCAAATATCGTGGGTTCTATTTGGAGGCGGTTGATATTCAATGTTTATATGAAAGGGGTTAG